CAAATAAAACTGAATTTAAAGTCAGAAAGTTCCAGATGTTTGGATCAAAAACATCTGGAGGAGAAAATTATAACTTCAACAGAGCTGTCGCTGAAACAATTTCAAAATAAAAGTCCCGAATAAAAGTCTTTTAACCTCCACCATCTCCAGTTCGTAATCTGATCAACAGATTATTATAATCTGGATTAATCTCTGTTGGATGTCAGGTGATCTGCCATTGACTAACACTGCTTAAAGCTCTATCAGACAAAATACTGCTGCTGTATTCTCTGAAGCAAAGAACACATCCTGCAGAACTGGTCTCCTCAGGTCCTGAACCTTTACAGACTCTTTCTGACAAAAGAAAGTTTGATTTGAAAAATAAAAAGTAATTAAATTTATAATCTGGTGTTTGTTTGTTTTATAAAGTGTTGAATAATTAAAGTTCTCAGAAAAGTTTTAATTGATTTGTTCTTTGGCTGCAGGTAAAGGGAACTACTGGACGTTGGACCCAAACTGTGAGAAAATGTTTGACAACGGAAATTTCCGCAGGAAAAGGAAGCGGCGGTCCGACCCGAGCTCAGCCGGAGCCGCAGCCAAGGTGGAGGACTGCAGGGGGGCCGCCGGGCCCTCCCTGAAGCCTTCAGAGAGCCCACAGCTCCTGGGACCCCCCTCCCCGGACTTAGACCCCATGAACGAGTCCCACAGGTCCTCGTCTCCGGTGGGTCCGGTGGGTCCCGCCTCCGGCTCCTCGTGTTTCAACAACTTTTACAGCAACATGTCGGCGCTGGGCTCAGGGACCCCCGGCCGGCAGGGGCCCCTGGGACTGGTGAACGAGCTGTCCAACAGGAACGTCAGCGCCCTGAGTCCGTACCCCCACCACGGCCACAGCGGGGGGCAGGACCCGGGGGGGCCGGAGCCCACAGACGGACTTCATTTTAACCGAGGAGTTTATTACAACTCACCGAGCGGACAGTTCAGCTCCTTCTACAACAGCTTCAGCCTCAACAGCCTCATCTACCCCCGGGACGGGACCGAGGTCTGACCCGAGCCCCGGGACGGGACCGAGGTCTGACCCGAGCCCCGGGACGGGACCGAGGTCTAACCCGAGCCCCGGGACGGGACCGAGGTCTAACCCGAGCCCCGGGACGGGACCGAGGTCTGACCCGAGCCCCGGGATGGGACCGAGGTCTGACCCGAGCCCCGGGACGGGACCGAGGTCTGACCCGAGCCCCGGGACGGGACCAAGGTCTGACCCGAGCCCCGGGACGGGACCCAGGTCTGATCCGAGCCCCGGGACGGGACCGAAGTCTGACCCGAGCCCCGGGACGGGACCCAGGTCTGATCCGAGCCCC